AAAAATATATATATATATATATATATATATGATTTTTATTAGATGTAGATGTATTAGTAGATGTAGTTTTCAACTAAGGCTGGAAAGTTATTTAATTATCTAAATATTTGTATTATTTTAGTATTACATTATATTATAGTTTTTATATTATATATATTATAGAAACCGTCGTCTCACAGATTTCATAAGCACAAGCAAAGGCTATATGCATTTTTTGTTTTTCATAGATGCTTTTATTTTCAGAAAACACAATTTAAAAAGTTTTATAAAAAAGAGTCTCATTAGGCCTCCTTCATGCATTTTTCATGTAACCATTATTATGTAAATAGTCCCATTCAGTGTGCCATTTTACATAAGAATTGTTTTACCGTTATGCTCGTTTCATCCAATTAAATGAAATTAACTAGCAAGAAAGAATACGGTAATTTGTTGAATGCATACATTTATGGACCTGCTTTATGTAAAGACATTGTTTGAAATTTCTAGCATTCACGTGCTCCTGTGATTTTTGAACCGTTTTATGAAATGCATTAGTCCATAGGCCTTTTAGCTTGAGTGCATAACAGCCCAACAAATTCCAAGATAAGTTAATGATGTTGAAGTCGTGACCTCTGCGACCTGTATGCCAGCATGCAGGTCGCCTGTCATTGACCCCAATTAAGACCCCAGCAGCTCCGCACACACCACCGAGGGCCATTTTCCGCTCTTCAGGGCCTCTCGGACGGCTGGGGAGCGATGTGGCACCGCTTGTTTTCTCTGTTGTGATTTATCTGGGCTGTATGGCTGAATGAACGTTGATGTAACAGCTGACGTTTCAATCGGCCCTAATGACCAGCCGAGGAATGAGGTTTTGTCGAGGCAGGGTGTTCTTATGCCTTTTTTCCAAAATAGATTTTGGTTTGGCCATAAATGGAAATAAATGCAGTGCAGTTTTCACTGCTGAGGGAGAATGCAGTAAGAATGAATAGCTCTGTTTATTTGCACATTGGCTATGTTGTTTTGTACTGTAAAAAATTCTTATTTGTATAGTAAAACAAAATTACAGTACATTTTAGAAGTGCTATTTCAATTTTTCATGTTTAATGCAATGTATTACTTGCCGTTTCTTTGCAAATGTAACATTTGCTAGCAATTTCTAAATAAAAAATGTTCTACACCAATTTTTGTTTTCTTTCAGTAATAGCACTTGATAATCAGGCTAATCAGCTAAAGGTGTCCACAAATTAAAACATTTTCCTGCTCTAGGAGCATAAGTGAATAAGTTGCAGGTTTTGCACTGAAAACACCACATGCTATTTTTTTTTTGTGAACTCAACCTTAATAGTAAACAAATTTGTGTGCATTAATGAAGCACATTTCTGCATAAATCATTCAGAAAACCATTCATATGTATATAAAGCCAGTTTGCATTCAGTGCAAAAAGTGTGTTGATTTTTGCACTGAATTAAACCATGTGCTGAACTGATTAGTCTCTGAGTGTTTTCGTAGTTCTTTCAAATGGCATGATCTCATGTTTATCAGGGAAACAAAGTTAAAGTGCGGTCGTGGCGGTTCGAAACACTGAAGTCGGAGCTTCTTTGCTCTGGTAGGTTTACTCGAGTTCTCTTGGACTCCTCATCTTGTCTTGAAGTCTCTTAAGCAAGCAGCCGCCGATCGATGCGCCTGATCAGCGATATTCTCTCAGGGTTGCGTTGGCTAAGTGCTCTCAGTGTTGTTGCTAATTAAAACCCAGACAGTAAAAAACCCCGCCGTCACCTGCTTTCTGCTCCACCTGACGATCTGCAGCCGCATGCTGGAGACACGCCATAGCAAGACTTAATGAGCAGTTTTTCTGCTAGTTATTTTTAGCAGCAAATATACAAATATATTTACTGTATCTGTATGTTTTATTTATTCATATATATTTATATATATATATATATATATATATATATATGAAAGTTTCAATATTTGTGGCTATATACTAACTAACTGTGTGTGTGTGTGTGTGTGTGTGTGTGTCATTTATTTCTAATATCAGTTAATAAAAATTATATACATCGCATTTCTTCATCATTCATTAAAAACATTCTTTATATATATATATATATATTATTGCTCTTTTGTTGATTTTGATTGCTTCCATTGTCCTCATTTGTAAGTCACTTTGGATAAAAGCGTCTGCTAAATATCTAAATGTAAATATATATTGTGGCTGTCACAAAAAAAAGTCTGTTTGATGAGAAAAGAGGAACTCTTGTTATCTTTCATTTTCTTGGTATGGCCTCATCAGCAATGAAATGAGTGCTTGTGGAGAGAGCGAAGCGCTTGTGTTGTCATCATCTTTGTCAGTGTGATGTTCAGATGATGTCAGTCGTGATTGGCCGTGTTTTTTTGACACGACCAGGAGTGCTGTGGAGTGTGCAGCAAATTATAGATCTGGATTTAAGTTCATTTCCATTGGGTCAGGAAAGATGTTATCAGGATTGCTGGTGGACAAAGCGGCACGATAACATCATCTTCATCTGTAATCGTCTCTTGAGACGTTCACATGATGTCAGTGGTGATTGGGCATATTTTGCCACGAGTGCTATTGAGTTTGCAAACGATCGTTTTTCTTATGGCAAAAAAAGATGTAAGTTTTGTTAGAGTATAAACCCTTTTTTTCCTGATATAGATCTTGTTTCTATTGCTGTTTCCCACAGTACTGGTATGAAGGGAATGAGATGGGAGACCTGCCTGTGGATTTCTCCATCGTATGGGACGGTGACTTTCCCATCGACAAGCCGTCATCCATGCGAGGTAAGAAATCTCACACTTCACCTTCAGCCCCTAGTGGCATTTCTAAAGCTAAAGAGAAGAAATATTGAAGCTATCCTCTCTACATTCATATTTTATCGACGTTCCCGATGTCCTCTTGATGTGGGAAGGGTGTTACCTTCGTGTAAAGTAGAACTTAATGCATCTTTTATTTTATTTTATCTGGATATCTGTTCAAACACACTTAGTCTGTCAGGTGTTCTCTCAGTCGCCGTGGTATATTTTATTGATAACAGGGCGCCTGCCTGCTTCAGCCTCATATAACTTCACATTACTGCAGAGGATGGTATGGAGTCCGCGTCCGTCAGCTTTTAACCCGTCCACAGCGCTGTCCGTTTGCATTTACTTTGATCGCTTTGAGAAGTAAGAGTGGAAAGACCTCCTGGAGTCGATATATATATCTCTTGAGGAGAACTTCATCAGGTGTGTTATTACAGAGTGTTTCTGTGCTTTCAGAGGCGAGGGAGGAATAGAAAGTCATAGCTCACTGTGTATCTGCAGATATACAATCTCTGTGGTAAATTATTGGTGTTGTGTGTTTGTTAGGCCGTGATCATGTTTTCAGTGGCCTGTTATTCTGAGCTCAGATGGGCAATTTAGCCTTGAGATCCACCTTCCCACAGCTGCCTTCAAAGATACCTCATTTTGGCCAAAATCCAAGCCACCATGACTTGTATTCTTTTTCCAGTAGAAAATCCCAGAATGTGAAGCTTTTTGTCCGAGATGGCAGACAAAGTTTAGGGAAATATCCATATGTAATGTAAAATATTATACAAATATTTATAAATATTACGTTATTTTGTTATATCATATAATTATTATTGTTTTTAATATTTTAAATGTACATAAAACATTTATAAATTAATATCATATGAGTAAATATAACATTTTATGTAATAGTTTTATTTCATTTTATAATTTCATATTTATTTATTTATTTAATATTTATAAATATATTATTAATAGTATAATATTATTAATGAATATAATATAAGTGTATTATAGTATTAATAAACATTTAAGTATGTTATATTTTGATATTGATATATTTTGATATTTGAAATGCCTATATGTGTAATATAATAAAATAAAATATTAAACCCCATAATATAATATAATATACTGCATTTATAAATATTATATTTTTATTAGTGCTGTCAAACGATTAATCTCATTCAAAATAAAGGTTTTTGTTTGCATAATATATGTTTGTGTTCTGTGTATATTTATTATGTATATATAAATACACAAACATACAGTATATATTTTGAAATTATTTAGATGTATTTACATGTCTATATTTATATTCTTATAATTTATATTATAAATAAATATATTTAATATATAAACATAACATATTTTTTCTGAA